TACCTCCCTATTTAACTCCACGTGAATGATACTGGTAGGCAGAACTACAGCTGACAGTTGCTTTGCTTTTAAAGAACATGGTATTGTTTGCTGTTGAAGGAGAATGGGAATGCTATGGAAAACCGAACTGGAATCACACATACGGACTTCCTTCGGAAATTTGTTTGCAATCAACAGTACCAAGAGATTGGGAGAGTTACTTCTGAGCTGCTTTTGTGAAGATTTGCCCAAAGAATTTCTGATGCTGTTACACACATTTACGACTTGTAAAGTTTCCCAGAATATATGTTGATTATTATTGTTTTATAGGATTATTTTTAGACTTGTTGGAAACAGCATGTTCTGATGACTGAGACACCTTGTAGAAAAAAGTGTCCTTTAACTTGATTACTGACAAGTTTTAGAGTTAAAACTGAATGTTTTGAGATGGTGTAAGGTCTGAAATGTGAAATACTGGGTTGAACATGGTAATTACGTTCTTGTATATTAGGAAATAATCTAGTTTCAAAACATCTTATTTGCAGTTAACGTGAAATGGGGAAAAGAGAAATTTGATGGCGTGGAGCTTAACACTGATGAACCTCCAATGGTCTTCAAAGCCCAGTTGTTTGCACTGACTGGAGTTCAGCCAGCTAGACAGAAGGTTATGGTTAAAGGAGGAACTCTGAAGGTAAAAATCCATGCTTTTTTCGTATTATTTCTAACTTTATTACATTATAACATAATGAGCAATGACCACATTGCTGAGTGTTCCTTCAGAAGATCTGTCATTGTGTGTATTAAACTGACTATGTTTCTCAGAAATAATTCTGTATGATTCATTGCCTACTACTAGAAAATAATAGTGAAAGGTTGTTGCTAAACTGTTGGGAGATTCACTGCTGTTTTTAAACACTTCTTCACTCTTTTATACCAAACACTACCCTGCTTGGTGGTGTTTTGTTTTTTTTTTTCCCTGTTCCTTTTTAATGTTCGGAATCTGAATGCAATATTTTGCTTTTTAGCTTGTTTAAGAAAGTTTCAGGTGCTACTTTGCTGGGGACTTATTGATGTAGTGCGATACAGGCAACTTTCCGGTAAAAAGTTGTTTACGTCTAAGCAATGTTGAACAATAGATGAAGAACTTGGCTGTTTTTTATTTTAGTAAGACAAGACTTGATATGTAAATAGTTAATATTAAATCTTGGATGAAACACAATTGTGTATTTAGCAATATGTGATTAATATTAATGAAGATTCTTGCTTGTCTTTTGCTGGAAGATAATTAACTTGTGTTTTATTTCATTTCAAATACAGGATGATGACTGGGGGAACATAAAAATAAAGAATGTAAGTTCTGAGGAATAACTAAATTTTACCAGTTTGATTTTTATTTTGGCATTTAAAATTCTTGCTGTTTCTGTTTGAATGGGTAACTCTCTTAAAAATTAGACCTTGATGAAAAATAATTTTATAGTTGTCCTATCTAAGTGTTCTTACAAAGTTCTTACCACTGATTTGTAAAAAACCTTTTTTGGCATCAGTAGGGAAATTACACAAACTTCCTGAAGTACTTGGGAGCATTTCCGTCCGTCCCTCTTTCCGTCCGTCCCTCTTTCCGTCCGTCCCTCTTTCCGTCCGTCCCTCTTTCCGTCCGTCCCTCTTTCCGTCCGTCCCTCTTTCCGTCCGTCCCTCTTTCCGTCCCTCCTTTTCCTTAACACTGTATTTTTCAGGGCACCAGATAACCATTTTCTCCGACTTTGATAGATCTTACTTTATAGAGCCGTTCTGTCAAATGCTGAAAAATTCCTTTTCTTTATGCTAGTCCAGCAAGCATGGTTAACTTGATTGCTTTTTTTTTTCCCCCTTTGAATGTTAGTCCTGATGCCTAAACTGACAAGGTCATTTTGGTTATTTTTCACTTCCCAATTAATTTAATGTCCTCAGAACTTGCCAGACCAAGGGATGGCATTTCCCTTCCCTCTTCATGTGGAAAAAACCCTGTTCCCAGCTCAGAGCTGCGGTCCTCATTATAGCCCACATCAATGTGAAGTGTTTCCCCAGATTCTAGGCTAAAGATGAGGGATATTCTTGTTGGTTGTTTAGAGAATTCTGAATTTGAGAACTTGAGACTGTGTCGTTTGAGAAGCTCAAGCATTGCAGCTTCTTTCAAATCAGAATTATGCTGTTTGGTTGTTCTTGGTTCCAAGGTATTTTCTAAGTCTTAAGGGAAAGAGGAATATTTGCACTGAAGTGTTGAAGATGCTCGATCCCTAGTGGTCCATCAGGAAGGGACCTTTCTGAACACTTCATATTGGAGTGTTCCATAAATCTTAAATTTAGCCCAATTGGAATCTTGTGTTATCAGCTGCTGGCAAGCTCACCAGGCTCAGTGGAAATATCTAGCACTGATAATACCGTGGAATTGTTCTCGGTAAGTACCTTCTAGGTAGTGAGAAAGTTAAGGTATACCCTTAAGAAACAACAGTGCAGTATCAGTTCTGTAAACTAGAGAAACATTGTGTTTATTTTGGGGGAAATAGCTGAAATACGTCAAGAGCTTAATGATTTTATTTATTTTTGAAGCTGAAATATCTGCCCTTAAATACTTACTACAATTTTTACTGTGTTTCCAGGGGATGACCTTATTAATGATGGGTTCTGCAGATGCGCTTCCAGAAGAGCCAATTGCTCGACCTGTCTTTGTAGAAGACATGACAGAGGAGCAGTTGGCTTCAGCTGTAAGCTTATTTCAAACTTTGGTTTCTTGTAAACCTTTGAATAATGACAAGTTTTTAAAATACTTGCAGTTGCTTAAAAATTAATTTTGAAACTGTAATGTCTGTTCAGCATTGTCGTGGTTTAATCCCAGCCCGCAACTGAGCACAACGCTGCTGCTTGCTCACTCCTCCCCCTCCCGATGGGATGGGGAGAAGAGTTGGGAAAAGAAGTAAAACTCATGGGTTGGACATGACAATGGTTTAATAACTAAACTAAAATATTTTATTATTAATTGTGATGAAAAGGAGTATAAAAGGAGAGAGAAATACAACCCAAGAAAAGACAACTGATGCACAGTGCAGTTGCTCACCACCCTCTGACCAATGCCTGAGCAGCGACCTGCCCCTCCTGGCCAGCTCCCCACAGATTATATACTGAACACGACATCCTATGGTACGGAATAGCCCTTTGGCTAGTCCAGGTCAGCAGTCCTGGCCATGCTTCCTCCTAGCTGCCTGTGCACCTGCTCACTGGCAGAGCATGGGAAACTGAAAAATACTTAACTTCAAGTAAAGTTACTTAGCAACAACTATAACATCAAAATGTTATCAGCATTATTCTTACACTAAGTTGGAAACGTAGCACTGTGTCAGCTACTAGGAAGAAAGTTTAAGTATCACAGCCAAAACCAGAACAAGCATTCATAGCTCCCAAAAGAAACGCAAATTTACATTGATGACCCAGTGGCAGCAGTGATGAGAAGTCTGGAATTTAATTTAAAAGTCATATAACTAGTGCTGTTTTTTCTTTAAGCAGGCAGCTTAGTACATTTTCTAAAAATAGTGTTACTGATGTTTTTAAAGACAAACCTATGTTGCCCTTGCTGTATTAGTGTCCTGAACTTTGCCTGAATAAGGGTTCTTAGATGTGCAAAATTGTTTCCTACCTCCTTCATATCTGTGAAGGGAAACTAAGGTTTATTTGGGGTGGGGTGTGTTTGGGGTTTTGTTTGTCCTTGCTAGTAGTATTAGGTAAACTTTTCTTTCTGAAAAATGAAAATAAGTTTGACATTCGTGGAATAGATGATGTGTTTTCCTTTATGGGAAGAGCGTAATTAATCTATTTTTTTAAAATGAAGTACTTCTGTTTGAGTTGTTCCTTTTTTACAATTGGAAAGGCTTGATTTTCTAATCAGTCATTTGAACTAGGAGCTATTTGTCATACTTAAAACAGTTGCACGACTGTTGTCAACTATGCATGCAGAACAGGAATACTTTTATGCATGTCTGTATGAAAATGGATTGGTAGTTTAGGGCTGGTTTTGTGCTTCAGTATTTAATGCTTTCCATGGCATGTTTATGTATTTCTCAACTAACCTTATACACAGACTTTGAGATAGCTGAGAGGTAAACAGGGAGACAATTCAGTGTCAGGTAACATTTTGAAAAAGTTGGTCACATTGCATTTCTCCGATTCAAATTTTCTTACAAGTCAAAATTCAGTTGTCTGTACCGCGTGTGTTCATTAAAAATGGAATACACAGCTAAATAAATTCTCTTTTTCTAAAATAAGTACATGGTATACAGTACTGCTTTAGTTTCATTAAACTACATGCTTTTTCCTTGACAGTCACTCAAATATGCAGGATTAAAAATTAAAAAAACCACCAACAACTGCTATTACATTGTGGTTTATAGTTATTTTTGAAACTGGTTAGTTTAATTACTAGTTGGCCTTCACATTTGTCAAAACTTTAGAAATTAATAAGTTGTCTGAAAGGATCAAATTAACGATCTATTGCAGACTTCTGGAGAGGAGTTTAAATAATGCTTCTGTTTCTAACTATGAACATCACATTCAGAGTTTTAGTAAAAACTGATTTTAATTAGAAGAAATGTATTCATGTGGAAATTTCACGGAAATAGAATTTTAAGGTCAAAACTGGAATGAGATTATAATTGAACTTTCTGAGTGACTGCCTGCTTGAAGAATATGTTCATTAAACTAAACATGCACAGGAAAAAACACAAAGCATTCCTGAATGTCCTCTAAAAGCACCAACTGGTGAAATGATTAATATGATCAGAAAATGGATCAGGGAAACTTCATAAAGTTTGACAGAACATTCCAGATTTTATGCAACTCTGATCATTCCTTTTCTAAGAATTTGATGTGAAATTATAGCATTTATACAAAAATGGTTGCACATCTCTCTCAGACTTTCAAGCACCCTTGTAAATTTTTTGGTAGATGGAGTTACCATGTGGATTGACAAACCTTGGCAACACTTGCTACATGAATGCTACGGTTCAGTGTATCCGCTCAGTGCCAGAAGTGAAAGAGGCCCTTAAAAGGTAGGATTCAGTACAAAAATACCACGTCTAAAACATTTTCTTCATCTTAGGAAATAGCTATTTTGTGGAATGATCATCTTAATACTGGTATGGATTATCATAACAATATTATTTAAATCTATTCAAGATTAGCATAATGATCGATTAAAGTTTATCCTGTGGCTGTGTTAGTCTGTACTTTTTAAAGAACTTAAGACTATGTATTTGTTGGAACTGGCTTTTAGTGGGAGAGAATGTGTTTTGTCTAGCTAAAAAATAGTTCCTATCAAGAATTGTTTAAAATGCTTAAGTTACTGAACTCCTAACCCTGTTTGCTGGTATTAGTTTCTATGGTCTTGTTCTGTAGAAAATAAATGTATGGGAGTCCTGTTCCTTTGAGGAATGTTTGTTTGGGGTTTTTTGATGGCTATCTTGCACAATGTGTTTTCAGCTATGAAATTCTGATGTTACTGGCATTTGGTACTTGGAGGTACGGCTGGAAGCTCTGAGATAGGACCGTGGGTGTTACTGTGCGGCAGACCGGAATAAGCTGGAGTTACTGTCGTTTAGATGCGTAGGGAACAGGAGACATTCCCTTATGGAATTTATTTAATTTGTTATGATTGTAGACTAATGTTTCTGTTTGGGTTTTTTTTTGTTATTCTGGACTGAAATGTGCAAATGGCCAGGTTTTATGGTGAGGAATTCACAAGAAACTTGGAAATCATGAAGGTTAGATTAAAGAATAGATGGCAATGTGAGCTTGAACTTGTCTTCCAGATAAGTTATAATGAGAAAACCACAACTATTTCAAAAATGTGGTGATCATCAGGTAGAGCATTGCCATCATAAGGTTAACTTAATTCCTTTGAAATATGCTGCTTTCTTGATACCTCAGTACCCGATTGGTTATAGGTAAATGCTAGTTATCTAAGTATTTTTTTCATTCTGTTAGAAGGTGAACCTTAATTATTTAGCACTGAGAACTATTTGTGAAGTACAGAAACTGTTTTAAAGCTTTTTCTTGTTTTTCAGTGTTGTCATTTTAGGAAAGTCTCATTATTTCCATGTAAAGGACTCTGAGTTACTGCACTGAATCAGAGTATTTGACAAATTTAACATACCAAATGTCAAAATGTACCCTGTGAAACTGGCAGACTGCAATACAAGATGTGGCCTTATTGTCTGTGGGAAGTCAGATTCGCAGGCAGCCTCTCTGCTTTACCTTGGAGACTTAGCCTTTATTTGGTCTTCCTGTCTTGATGAGTGTGGAAGGGTATATGGCAATGAGAGAGAGGTGAAAGGACTCACATGGGAAAGCTTACTATTACGGCTACATTCCTCACCAGCTGCTTCATTGATCTCTGCAAGGGTACTCCAGTTTTGTAGCATGTCAGGGGGAAAGTTTCCTGCTCATCATCTAGCAATGGAGAGAGTTTTTAAAGTTCAGTCTGAGATTAAAGAATGCACGAGATCCTCCTTTTGCTTGAAGGCTTGTATATGCTTAGAAGAGGCCATTCTGTTCCTCATGCAGGTTGTAAATTAAGAAATCATTCAAAGAAGAGTGGTAAGTTCTAGTAATATGGGTGGACTCCCATACTTTTTCAGTGTAGGAAATATCTCCCCAAGAAAAACATCTCGCCTCTTGCTGTTTTGCTTCTGCTGTGGAAGCAAGAAGCAAGCCTGCCCTCCATCACCATGCATTTTGTCTGCCTCTATCCTTGAAAGTGATTTCATCTTGTATCTGAAGAAGCAAATGTTTCAGAAATGAGGTAGCTTCTATTAAGACTTTTTCTCAGTTTCTTTAAAAACAGATTGAGTCTTTGAGGCAACTGGATTAAGGAAGCAGCAGGGATGTATCCAGACTTCTCAGTCTGCATTTATTTATTGTCTCACAGATGCCAGTTTTCCTTTGCTTTCATGCAGTGCTTGCAAAATAGCTGAGACTTTGAGGCAAGTTTTAGTAAATCTTTATATTAGGTTACTTCTGGTTTGGTGATTGATTTCTTTTGATACATTTGAATACATCTAAGTGCTGCCTGCTTTATGATTTAAAAACCTGACTGTTTTTCTCAATTGTGTTTAATTGCATACAGATAATTTTCTTCTCTTTTAGGTATGGTGGTGCCTTAAGAGCTTCAGGAGAAATGGCCTCTGCTCAATACATTACTGCAGGTTGGTGTTTAGAGTAGAACAGAGGGTTTTAGGCTAGTGTGTGATATCCTGCTAAATGCAGATGAAAATTGCAGCTAGAGTGCTGCGTGTTTTTCTTTAGCACATACACCTTTGGAATTTCAGATCTGCTAGCACTGGAGGATTCATTTTGCTCTGTCATTAATATCTTTAAAGGTTATTCTGACCATGGCTGCAAAGCATACATCTCTGCATATTATCCAGCTGCACGTTAGAAAAAATATATTCTAGGCTTAGATAGAAATCATTGCTGTCTTAACTGTTTTTTGTGTAGGCATAAAGTAATTGGAAGTTCCTAAAGCCGACTCCATCCGTCTGTTGATTTGATCATTTTGCATAGAAATATTTTATTGTGCAGTTGTTTCACTTAATGGCAGGCTAGCGCCATACTCCTAGAATGTATGTTTCTTTGAATTATTTTTTTTAAATGTGATTTATTGGTTGAGCATTATTGCTAAGGTGGTAGCTGATGCTTTATCAGTGGTCTTAGCATTTACTCTAAAGATCCAGTTTTCATAACTGAATTAAAAAGTAGTGTCTTCAAAAGGAAAGTTACTCTTCGTTGTGATCTGGGTGCTCACATATGGGAGCTCATGATGTGGCCCCGTATCCTCACGTTCTAACTAGAATTCTAGTTAGACCCCTTACACTTGAACAAGGGTACTACTTGTCCACTTTTTCTTTTTTTTACTCTATTTCATTGCCCCACTAAGATGCTGGGCCAGGACACTGAGATTTCTACCAGTCCATTTAAGGAAAAACAAAACAATATAAGGAAGGAAAGGTCCAGTTTGTGGGTATGCCTGCTGATCGAATTTTGGGGTGGTAAGTTCAATGGTTACTCTGTACAACCATGCCTGCCCCTCCCCTTTCACTGCCTTTACTTGTGTCCCTTGTGTTCTTTTTAAGGTGACAGCTCTGCTTTTTAGGAATCTTAATAGTTTAAGTAATTTGTAGTCAATTCTTTGATGCTGAGCTGGTCAAGAACTCCTGCATGACACTTTAACGGCATTTTTCTTTTTTTTTAATTGCTGTGTCATATCAGTTGTCCCTCTTATCAAGGTGCGTGAAGATATTTCTTAAAGAGAGGAAGCAACTGACCTTGGTTCCCTGTAATCTTGCCTATATTTGCTTTTTCAGGAGTATCATTCATTAGTCTCTCCACTTGTAAATTAATGACCTTGCAGACTGTTGCCTACCTCACAGGGTGGTTGTGAGGATTAACAGGTGTCTCTGAAGTGATTTGTGGATTTAAAGTGCTGTAACCTGGGTAGATAAGACATACATGGTAGTATGTCTGGAGCAAAAAAGAAAGCCATACGTATTGTCATGCAATCAGTAGCATTCATTGAACGGCACATAGTTACGAACTCTCTGCACATATGCATACACATACTTGTTTTCCTGGGTCTTAAATTAAGCATGAGTATTTTCTAGATATTTTAGTTGGGAAAAATGAAAGTTTTTCCCCAGTAGTTGGTGAAGCTTAAGCTGCTCTGGAGGACTGATTGTCAGTGCCTTCTGGTTTTTCTAGGTGTAGTCCTCGTTTGGAAACACTGTTCCTCAGGTGTGTTTCAAATGAAAACTGCTCAGAAATGTTTGTTGATTCAGGTTTTTTTTCTCTGTTAGCAGCCAGGAAAGACAAGGCATTGTGTGCCATGCTCTCAGAGTTGTCATCTTTATGCTTGCAAAATCATGTTCACAAATGAGATCTTAGGTGCACCTGTTACGCCTCCTGGAAAATTTGGTCCTGCTTTGGAAAGATCAAATGGGACACTGTTAAATTATCAGTCTTTAAATATTGCTACTGGTTTACTATTCTTTTTAAACTTCCTGTCATGTTTTAATTGTTTTTTCCACTTCTCAAAGCATTCACTTTTTCTTCAAGCTCTTAGAGACTTGTTTGATTCCATGGATAAAACTTCCTCCAGTATCCCACCTATCATTCTCCTGCAGTTTTTACATATGGCCTTCCCACAGTTTGCAGAGAAAGGTGATCAAGGCCAGTACCTTCAACAGGTAAAGACCGATTACTAGCTTTTTGTTGAAAAATTCTATAGTATGTTGGAAGTTGAGAACAAGAATATTTAAGAACTTTCCTTTTCCTTTGAAAATAATTAATCCCAGTAAAGTGTTTGCTTTTCTATTGTGTAGAAAAGTTGAATGCAGTATCAAGTGCTAGCTTTGAAAATGTATGGTGGAATAGGGAGAAATTCTTAGTTAAGGAATCCTTACGTCTGGTTTTATAGTGTAAAGATTGATGGGTTTAATATTACAAAATCATAATGCTACTACTCAGATTTAATGTTCTGTGCCTTTCCTAGGATGCCAATGAGTGCTGGGTGCAGATGATGAGGGTACTACAGCAGAAGCTGGAAGGCATAGAAGGTGATACAGTTATGGAGGTAATTGTGGTCTTACTCTAACCAGAGTTAGGATTTATAATGTTGTACTTCTGATTCACACATTTTTTTGCTAAGGATGATCAGTTTTGTGAGTTCTTTAACATGTGTCTATAGTCCAGTAAGTGAAATTGCTTTCTGATGTGTCTGATCAGTATAATGCTACCTATGTCCTGTCAGCTGCACTATGGAGTGAGCCATAGGAATACTTTCCCTTTGGGCTTTGTAAGGCCTGTGTTGGACCAGGGTGGTGGTGAGTGTGAGTATGCAGCAGCTGCCCCTGGTAATCTGTGAATTTAGCACATGCATACTTTTCAGAAAAAAAGTTAACAGCATTCTTGGCTACAAGAATTCTATTTCCGACACAATTAGCTTAATCAACCTGGTAAGAAATTACTTAAAAGTTTTTCCCAAGACTTTACCAGACTGACTCTTCTTTCTCTGTAAACTGTTTTCTGGAGAGTCTTGGCAGTGGCAAAAATCTGATAGACTAAAATTTAAGACAGATTTAAGTTGGGGGGTAGGGAGGTGTGACTTTTTGATTGAAATCTTGCTTCCTAATATGCTTTGAGGTGGCTTTAACAGCATGCTATAAATGTGTTTGTTTTGAAACTTTTGTGCTGTCTAAGGAGACTGACTAGGAGAAAATCCATCTGTAGAAAGGTGAAGGAATAGGCTTTGAAGAATTTAAATAAATTGGGTTATTTTGTCTGTAAAGAAGACTGTCTTTACATGCTATTTCAAGTTACATCATAAGAGAATTTGTTTTACAGACAGACTCTGGAGCTACAGCAGCATCATCTAAAAAGAAGAGTTTAATTGATCAGTTCTTCAGCATTGAATTTGAAACAGCGTATCCTAAAGACTAAGGCAAGACATAAAGAATGATAGTAATTCCACATCTTAGCAGTTGAATGCAGAGAGGATGAAAAACATTATTCAGAATAGTATAGAAAATACTGGGGTGTGTTGGGGAAGAGGGAGAATGATGTACTGCAGGAGTACACAAAAATTGAAGTTAATATTGGATATACTTTGAGAGAGAGAATGTTGTGGGGAGGAAGAACGGTAATAGAAATTTATAGAAAAAACCTTCCTGAATTTAAATACCAGATTTCCATTCCAGAGAGAGAGAGAAAATTGCCAGTTAGCTACCTCAAGGGTGCTGACATGCTTTATCCAAGTAAAAGTTAATTATCATCCTAAATAGACTTTCTTGGCTTGTAAGGGAGTGTTGCTCATGTATATGTTTAGTATGCCAAGCATAAAGGTTAGCTTGATTGGTTGGTGTTTTGGTCGTGTGGTTTGTTTTTTTTTTTAAAGACCTAGATTAGATGCACACTGTTAGATGAGTAAGAGACTAATGCAGCTGACAACTTTCTAGTAGCTTTTTCATATAGTAAGTATGACCTCATGGAGAGCACATCTCATGCCAAGTATTACTCTTTTCCTGCTTTTCCACCCCAAAGTCTTGGCTGTTGTGAAACTGACCACCACTTTTAGAAAGTATTATGCTCTGCATTTGCTTGTCTGAAATAAGGAAACATCCTCTCAAATGAGGTTCTCTGTCTCACAGCTTGGTAGTAATGAAGAGTAAAGGCCTTTTTTAAGGTGAGCCATGCATCTCTATCCCTGTATTGTGATGTTTGTTATCCCTGAAATAGCTGTGAGGAGCAAAATGAGTAACTAAGAGGAATGCTGCACAGGCCAATGGCAGGAGGAAGAGGCTTCGTAGAAAAGTCATGCTGCAAGGCTTCGAAGTGTGATTGTGGCAGCATTTGTAGAATAGATGCATTCAGAGCAGTCAGAAAAATATCTAGTTAGAAGGAAGTGGATGAGAAAACAGGATTGGGGTAGAAGTATGGAAAAAGAAGAGGTTGGACAGAGTGATTAGAAGAATATGTAGAAAATAATGGAGAAATGGACTTTATTTCAGTGAAGAGGACTGATAGAAGGCAGATAAAGGAGGCTGTGCATGTTGAAAGAAATTAGAAGTCTGGCCAGCAGCAGGAATAGAACAACTTTTATCGGTTGTAAACAACAATGGAGCACAATGTTGTAGGCAGACTTCATAACTTGGTATTGGCACACAGTTATGATCAATGTTCTGGGGGTTGGAGGAGGGAGGGGGAAGAAAGAGCAAAGCAGTCCTCACCAGCTTAAATGGTGATTAAAAACTTGTTTTACTTTTTTTGGTATGTTGTTTGCCTCAGCTACTACTTGTCATAAGACATGAAGGAACAGATTGGTTAGAAGGAAGGGCCATTTCAAATCTTCTTTTTATACTATGAAAGTAAAAGTACTACTGATGCACAAGCACAGGATTATCTTGAACTACTGTGCTCTTCAGCATGTTTTCACTAGAGCAGTAGTTCAGCTCTTGGTGCATGATGATTTTCCTTAATTTTGTGAAGCATGAAATGTACAGAAGCTGAAGAAGAGGAAGTAACTAAAGGAAAGGAGAATCTGCTTCAACTCAGCTGTTTTATCAATCAAGAAGTGAAATATCTGTTTACAGGACTAAAATTGGTAAGCCATTATAACTTCTATTTAATTGAAATTCTAAATGGTCTGTGTTCTTAATCTATGACATGGAATAGACATTTGCTGTCCAAGCTTTACAGAGTTCCAAGCTTTTTTTTTTTTTTGGTGTTTGATGGAAAGATGGCAGTGAAAATGAATTGCATTTTAATATGAAGCAGGCTTCAACAAAGTGTTTTCTTGACCCTGATGTGGTCTTCCCCATGCAGGTAACCATTTGCGACTTGTTTGTTCAGCTGGCTTTCACTTCAGACTGAGCAATATCATGATTTAGGCATGCTGTAAATTGTTCCCAAAAAGTCAGTTTTAAAATTGGGTGGCATTTTTGTTGCTAAGAAAAAAATCCCAAACGGATGTTAGAACAATTAAAATTTAATTTACAGATTTTGAAGGGGGTGTTATTTTCCATGACACCACATCATCTTTAAACCATTTATTTAAGTAGAACTTCTTAAAGGTCTGTGCTTTTTGTATATATATTTCTAAGTTTTCAGGGTTTTTTTAGAAACTGAAGGATCAGGATGAGGAGCTACTACAAAACCTTTGTAGTAACTGCTCTTGCACAGTACTTGTGTAAGAGCAGGGATGGAAGCAGTGGTCTGGTTTGTACAGGACTAGACCAAGTTGTATGGTTCTTGGATAGTCTTTCTATCTGCTTTTTGGGTTTTTTTTGACAGAATTTAGAAGGAAATGCAAGATAAAATAGTTAATGCTCACAAGTGAAAAAGATTATAGAAAAAGAAACCTCACTTTCAGGCCTGAAAAGGTCTTTTAGAATTCTTATGCTGGATTGTCTGCAGCGAGAGTCACAACAGTAACAGCCAGGCCAGTTCAGGGAATTAGGAAGGTTCACAGGAAGCAGAGTACCATCACCTGCCTCCTTATATGCAGCTCTGTCTGCTTTAGTCTGAGAGCTGAGAAATGTGCAAATATTCCCATCACAAGAAACTTCAGACTTTCTTCAGCTGTGTTCCAGGCCTGACGTGACACATTCGTAACTAAATACAGTTGCAAGTTCTACTCCCGTATAATTAAACTTTCTGCAGAGAGAAACTTAGTATTGTCAGGGTTCAGGAATGATCCTGGAGGTGAACAAATGAATGGGCATGGTCTTTCTGCCAAGGAATTTCAAAATGCTGTGTGTTGTAATGGCTGATAGCAACAGAAGAGGTCAGCAGAACAAGATTTAGTTTATGGTTTGTTTATCCATGCTGTGCTTTTCTTTAAGCTGAGTTTTATGATAAATGATGTGTTATTAACTTTTTTTAACAGCGTCTTCAAGAGGAAATCACCAAACTGTCTCCAACACTGCAGAGAAATGCACTCTATATCAAATCTGTGAGTGGTGCTTCTGGTGCTTTCTTTATGATTCTTTTAACTGTTGTCAATTTTCTGTCCCAAAACACAAAGTTATTGCTGCAAAGGCATGTGATTATGTTTATAAAGCATCTGAATATCCTCTACCAAGAAATTGAACACCAGTTGAAAATTACTTTTGAGTACAGTACTACAGAAAGCTTGAAAATAAGAGGCCTTGTTATATTCCTGTGTGTTTGTGTACAAGTATGTTCCCGAATAGCCTGTAATTTAGGATGAGCAGTGTTTAAGGTGTAAAAGATGTGCAAATATCTAAATAAATAGCTTTCTCTAAATTTTTCTTCCAGTCTAAAATTAGTCGCTTGCCAGCATACCTGACTATTCAGATGGTTAGATTTTTTTACAAAGAGAAAGAATCAGTGAATGCCAAAGTTCTTAAGGTAAGTTTTCTGGATATTGAAGTTTAAATTCCTCTTCATGCTTTTCAATCAGTTTTTATTATAGGTAGATAACTAATACTTGAAGGCTATTTACTAAATTGTTTGCTTTTAAATTGTGTTTTAAAATATTAACAGTGTAGATTCTTTGCTTAAGAACAATGTGCATGATGATGTGTATCAAACTATACTACCAAAATAGACTGGGAGAGGAGGTAAGGGACAGAAGTGAATTTGCTCCTAAGCTGTTAGGATTTTTTTGGTCTCTTTTCACCAGACATTCAGAGGAGAATGCTTCATTAAGGAGAGCACCATGCTTTCAGTCACTGGGTGGTGGTGTAAGGTTAATGAGAAATGTTTATGCTAGCAAACACTTCCTTTATTAGTTATGTGAATTGTCTGGCTTTCTGATTTACAAATGCAAGAACCAGCTGCAAACAGCTAAATGTTCTGGTTTTGCTTTCTGTTGGCCTTGGCTGATAGACCTCCTAAGCTGCCCAGGGAGCATCGGGATAGATGATGTCCATTCCTTACAAGAGAAGCAAGGGAATAAAGATTGAAGGCATGTGTTAGCTATTTTAGAAGATTGTTTGGATAACACAAATTGACATTTTTTGCAAGTGCACAGTCATTCAACAGCAGTTTTTCCTTAGGCCTGCATAGGTATTTCTGTAGTATAAAAGTATGATAGCTAATAATAAAGAATCTGAGTATTTATACTGAATATAGTAATTTATAATTTTTTATACTGAAGCAGACACTCTTCTGTGAAAGTATTGTAGCCCTTCAGGTAGGTAATGTCAGCAGCATTTCAGTGGATCAATGTGATGAGAGTTGTATTTGATTGGACTCGGTGTTGTCTACCCATGGGAGAATGCTTTAATGTGGAGTACCAAATTATGCTAATATTCTTCATGCTTTTTACTTCCTAGGATGTTAAATTTCCCCTTATGTTGGATGTGTATGAGCTGTGTACGCCAGACCTTCAGGAAAAAATGGTTTCTTACCGATCAAAATTCAAAGATCTAGAAGACAAAAAAGTAAATCAACAGCCAAAGAATGTAAGTCTTCTGTCAATTTCATGGATGTTTTGATTAAATAAGTCAGACATCTGAAATTGGGGTACCAGTAAAGATTAGAGAAGACTTGATTTATTTAAACGTATTGTTCTTTTGTTTAGCATTCAAACTCCTTGGCATTGAACTTTAAGATCTTTTGTGTGTATTTGGTGTGCCTGCCTGGTGAGAAACGGTAAATGCTGTAGACAGACACATTGCTTATATTTTATTTCAAAATGTATTTTACAAGTGTTATGCCTAAAGGTTTTCTGTGAATGACACAATTATTCTCTTCTAACATTACTGCTTGCTGGTGGGTCACTTGTTCAGTGGAGTATAGGTTGCTATTTCCTGCTCACCAACTGGAAAGGGTTGTACAAGAGAGTGCTACTTGTCTGATAAAATTTACAATATATGTTTTAGTGAGCTAAAAGACTGTGCGCTAAAAACTGAGTAAATGGTTTCATCTCTTACCCTGTCTACATATTCTAAAACTGACTTGCCTTTCTTTAATGAAGAAAAAAGTAAATGAGCTATAACTGTAGTGTTTTAGCCATTTTTTTAAAAGTTTGCTACTGTTTTCCTGGCCTAACTGCTGGCAGTTTCATTTAAACAGTTGAATAAGGTTTGCATCTCTCTTTACACAGTTAGCAGCAAAGAAAGAGTGCTATTTTAAAACAGAAGGTATTGGTACTTTTGAGATCTGTCTCTGGTATTTTCTTGTTGTCACTTCTGCTGCTAGCAAGTCCCTAACAAGGAATAAAATCTTCAATTGTAGAATTGTTTTTGTGCTCCAAACCTGTAAATCTGGTGGGTAAACAGACGAGCCAATGTGTGCTAAAATGGTTACATGCTTGCTTTAAAAAGTAGTCTTGTTTAAATGAGGCTGTTGGATGTCCAGCTAGAAGTAAGGTGATGGAACTTGTTTCAAGTTGAATGAAAAATATTTAGGCTTAGGAACATCTTTAAATGAATGGAGAGTTGATATTTGATATGATTGTGCTAAAGCTTTCTCAAAACCATCCCACATTAATTTGCATATTTTGTTCTTTAGTCTAGTAAAAGTGATGGTGCACAGAAAGAAGTTAAATATGAACCATTTTCTTTTCCTGATGGTGAGTACACGGAAGTAAATCTGTTTTAAAGTAATTTTCTGTTTACTCATGTTTAAGTGGACCTGATGGTGGCATATTATGAAAACCCTGGTTATTTTTAATGCCTTTGAAATTTAATTTTCAGAAACTGACAGAAATTTAAGGATTAGGCAAGCCAAAATGCTTTTGAGATCGTCAAAGACAATTGTCACCATCTGACACGATGATACATAGATGTGCATCAAAAGACGTTTTCATATTGTTTTGTTGTTTTGTACATGTCCTTGTCAGGGGGTGGTAGAAAGCTGAAATCAAAACAAAAACTTAAACTGGACTTTTAAAACTGCTGTCATGGGGCTTGTGTTGCCTGAATTTGGGGGGCTTTGGAGCTTGAATGCCCTAAGCATTCACCCTCATGTGGAAGACACTGCAGAAATTATTTTGGAGGTCGTTTACCCAAATTTGTTACCGTTCTGTGCTCCTGGGCTTTGTGTGTAATGCACTGTGTGAGAAGTGGGGGGGCATTGACTGGCTTGAGAGCACAGCAGAAAGAGGAGAGTCTGGAGTGTTGGGGACTGTGACACCCTGCTTGGTATGGTTTTTACATACCTGAAGAACTGGCCCGTTTTTTCCTTTGAAAAACCAAACAGCATCACTGAAGTAACAGCAGAGTGGTTGAGCGGCTGTACCTGAGTAGTCTCAGCAGCCCGCGGTGCAGCCTGATGGGCCTTGCAGGGCAGGGGCGTGGCTTGCCCTGAGTGCAGCACCCGCTGGCATGTGACAGAGGTATTGAGCTTTGCATTCTGTCTGGGTTACATGTTTATGTCATGAAAACAGGCACCATTCTTAGTTTCCTGAGGGGCTATCCTGGCTGAAAGCTGCTGCTTTTAGAACCATGCTGTAAAGGGGGTTTTACACAGCAACAGTGTGGCTACAGCTGGTTTGTGTGCTGCTAAAAATGCTAAAACTGTTCATGTAAGACTTGCCTAACTTTTTTTTTCCTCTTCCTTCAGATATTGGTTCTAATAACTGCGGCTATTATGACCTGCAGGCAGTGCTAACACATCAAGGCAGATCAAGTTCCTCTGGGCATTATGTGTCTTGGGTTAAAAGGAAACAAGGTAAAAAAAAGTAATAGATTATAGCACTGCTTCCCTCATTAAAGGGGCTGTTAAAAATTGAAACATGCTTATGTACCTAAATTACAAATAATTGTCTTCTTCTTGCAGATGAATGGATTAAATTTGATGATGACAAAGTCAGCATTGTTACACCTGAAGATATTTTGAGGTTATCTGGGGGTGGAGACTGGCATATAGCTTATGTTCTACTCTACGGGCCTCGCAGAATTGAAGTAATTGAAGATGAAGCTGAACAGTAGTCTTCAGTTTTAGTCATTCTGCCTAGGTGTGAAATAAATGTTGATTACTGATTACTTCTTTAACCCCAGAGCTTTAGCAAGTGGATAAATAATTTCTTCAACCCTTTTCATGTGAAGAGGGATGTTGTTTTACAACTGATCCATGTACCAATCTGTCACTGCTGGACTGGATTGCCCACTGTGGTGGTGACAATACTTAAAATAGCTTTAATGTCTTGCAGAAGATTAATTTTTTTTAATTGAGCCTCTTCCCTGCCCCTTCCCTCCCCCAATGTCATCAAGTATTTATTACACACCTATTCTCACATTTGTTACTCTTGCATGGTTTATACCACAGTTCAGTAGCTGTCCATCCTTTGCCTTACCTGGCAGTTTTGTTAGGAAGGTAGAAGAGAAACACTTGCCTTGTCATGTAACTCAGTGCTGCTGCCCATAGCCAACAACTGTGGCTACAGTCAAGTATTTGTCCAGCCTGACCTGCTGATTCAGTCTGTTCTGTTGCTGGCATCTCATGACTTCAGAATAAATTGTGATCAACAACTGTGTCTCCATTAAAAAAATTCATGTCTGGGTAGCATAGCTAGTATGTGTTTGTTTTCACTTCTTGGGCCACCAGTGGATGAATGTCTCAAAGCAGTCATGTAATGAAGCCACTCTTTTTTTAAGCTGTAGTGGTTTAGCTCCTGGCAGTAGATAAGTGGTGGTTGCAAAACCAGACTTTGCTTTCTTAGGGTAACTTCTGTTCCTTCCCCTCAGGAGTGCAACAGCTGTATGCTGTGGGTGGGAGGCTGCAGTTAGAAAGTATTTGTGTGTTGGCTAGAGCCAGGAAAGCACTGGGATATTGACAGAGCTCAGCCTTGCTCTAGAGGAGCTGATTTTTGATGTGTCTCAGTCCTTTCTGGAGAGCTTTCCTGTTAGGTGAAACAGGTCCCAGTCAGTCTTCACTGACAGTGGCCTGGGGGAGTGTTTAACTGTGCCTGGCTTTCTCAGAAAGGGCCCCCCTCACCCTCCCATGGGGACACAGCTGCAGCTGTGGCCTTCCCAGGGCCTTTTTCTGCCTTACCAGGTGCAGTGGTGGCTGTTGCCCTGCCTCCCTCACAGCACAGCTTCCCAAAGGATAAGGCAGGTGTTTTAATAAATGTTGGATGGGGGCAAGCAAGTTCTACCCAGTAAGAAATCCTCAATGCAGCAGAGGTTCTTTATCCATGTAGTCCACAGAAATAGTACTAATACTTATAAAGAAAAAGCTTGTTGTGCCTCCTGTTTGTTGAGACATACAAGGCCTGTGCCCAGTTGCTGCATTGTGGGACTGTCCTGCCAGGTGTGGGCCTGTGATCAGTGTTTCCTCCCTTAGAGCTGCTGCTGGCAGTTGAAAAGAGCCTTCTGTTCTGGACAATTACATGACCCTACACCTACAAAATAATATAATCTTATTACTGGTCACAGTCTGATAGTTATAAAAAAAGTAACTTTTTTTCCTTCACAGAAAGCCTTCTGCCCCATTTTTCTCCTGCTCTAGCTTTTTCCAGATTTTGAGATGTGTGTACAAGTTGTCTTACTGGGACAAGATACACTTAATAATTTAACAGCTGGGACACTGAAAACCCCTTGAAGACAGAGCAGCAGCAGCAGTCACTAGACAGGCCTACAGGCTGCCCCTCTCTACTTCTAGTGGAGGTCCTTTGAGGCCTGTCAACCCTTGGGGCTGGGGTCAGTGAGGGGGATTCTCAGTCAGGATCTCCCCAGGGGGTGTCTAATTTCAAGCCTGTTTGAGGGTGAGAGGACTGCTGTCACTCATTTTGATGAAGTCATACTTGTTGGATGATGCAGAAAAAACCCAATAATTTAGTAGTCCTCCACACACAAGACAAGACACTGCTGCTGGCCAGGTCAGAGAAGGGGATCACAGCTAAAGCCAGGGGCCAGCTCAGTGCCCAAGGCTCTTGCCCTGAACACGAGCACCAAGATGATGGTTCACGCCTGAAGCATCAAGGCTGTAACTGGCCAAACATGGCTCCTTCCAGTCACTGTCATCATGGCTGTCAGCCCCAGCTCATCCCCATGCTCCTCCGTTCACAGCATGCTTGAGTCCCTTTGCCATCCAAATCATTACATCTTCCACCTTCTGCCAAATCATACTTGCAGCAGTGGCAGGGGGGAGCGGGCACAAAGCCCATCATGGAACATCTCCAAACCAGCAGCAAACCACCTTAGAAATTCACAGGAATGCCTGCAAAACTGAAACAATATCATGGAACTTTCATCTGCATGGTAATGTGGTTTGCCAAACAGCAATTAGATTTCATTGAATGACCCAAATTCCACAAGAAATAGCCACAAAACAAGTTGTACATTTTGATGGCCTAGAGCTCCCCACCACCCCAAGTGATGACAGAAGTCCTTCAGAGTCACCCACACACCGAGAAAGCAGACAACAGGCAGTTAGAGCGACTGGCGCTCGCTCTGTCCAACAAGAGCAACCCGAGCCCAGCTGCAGGCAAATCCCCACCACAGTGAACACAGAAAGCTGCCCTCCCTCTCCCTCCTCCCTTTTACACTTCTACCACCCAAGATGAAACCTCCCATTTCTGGATCAGGATGACCAATCCTTTTCTCAGAAAATGTGGACAACTGAACAGTATTATTAAAAAGTTTTATCATTTACTGAACATAAAATACCTATCAAAAAAATCAATTATCTAGCAACAACAATAAACCAAACAGTAACAATTAACAACAGCTGCCAGACAAGTCACCGTTAACAACCACCACCAAACCCAAATGACAGGTCAGGACCTGACAGGAGTTAGCTGCTGCTCTCAGTGTCGTTGGTCAAGCTTTCTGCAAGGTCACTGAGCCCAGCTTTGTTCAGCGCAGCGATCAGGTTCTCGGGGGTCGCGTGGGCACCCTCCTGATCCTGCCAGGCCACCAGCAGCTGCTTGGCTCTCATCTTCATGTCCTCGCTGTCAGACTCGATCTGGCGTATATCAGAATCCTTCATTTCCAAGTAGGGGGCCAAGGCCTTCCACTGCTCCCCAAGCCTGTTTGCAAATGACTCTATTTGTTCACCGGACATGACTTTGTCCCTTTGCGCCTCTGGACCTGGGGAATGGGGGGAGGGAGGAAAGAAAAAAAGAGAGAGAGAATCTATGAGACACAAACAATGTCTCCGGATACCGCAAATGACTCTCCCCTGATCTGCTCCATTTTAAATCTATTTATTTACTACCAGACTGACTTACACCTTTCCTTTAGTCATAAAAACCTCAGGGGCTCTGGGAACAGAGATTTTTACAGATGTATTACCTGGGTTTCAACAGGAATGTCCCTTATTGCCCATGATAAAGAAAACATTGGTTTTTATATTATCTCTTGTTTGAGAGAGAATTACTGAATCTTCAAGTACATTAGAACTGCCTCCTCCAAATGAAAACAAGGATTTTGACAGGCAGCTTAAAATTTTCAATATGTGAGTCAACTATAATATTAAAACACAGAGCAATATTTAACATTTTATTGTCTTCTGGACTTTAGTCACTTTATGTGGAGTTAGGTAAAAAATAGTTTGCTTCCCTTTTACTGAGTTACTAAAGCCTCATGGTCCTATTAGCAGCAGGACTGTGAACAGGATAGTAACTCCACTACGTAGTCAGTACTTCAAGGCATTTTTAGTCATTCCGGCATCAAGATAAAGAACATGGAATACTGTGCTCTGCTGAGAGGCCAAACACTGCAGGGATTGCACAGGTGGGTTTGCACATTTATCACTCATCACGGTCTATAATATATGGCTTATTTCAAGCTGTTTAAAGAAAAAAAAAAACCCACCCAAAGACTGAATTACTTATGCATAGAAATTAATCACATTCCTAATTTTTAATAAGTATCTCACCCTCATGCCCCCTGAAGAGCCAGTTGGCATGGAGTGGAAACTTAAGCTCTTTCCAGGGCTTATCAGTCACACCCATTTGTCTGAACTAAACTCACTACATTGAGGGGAAAGAATGGAAGATCACAAATGACAAAACAACAGAAGAACTCACATCACTTTCATTATTTCTAAGCACAACAGTGTACAGCTGACCACAGCGCTCTCATCTTTGCTTTAAGACAAGATTTAAAGAAAGGTGTAAATTCAACACAGTGAAGCTCCAAAGGCTGTTTCAGGCAGTGTTAAGCTGGAGAGGACTTCTTCACTACTGGCAGGGAAGCTATGGAAAAGGTCAGGTGCTGGATGGAAAAGGGCAACAGAAGAGAGATTCAGAGGCCCATAGGCGGCTTCCCACCAACAGAAAAATCTTTCAACAAAGTTGCCAGCAGTACTGGGTGTGTGGCTTCCCTGCCCTGCGCACCCCCCCTGCCCAGGCTGGCTCCAAGATGCAGGGAGACAACACGCAAGGGAGAAGGTGCTGCGAGATGAAGGCATGAATGAGGATGGAAGGCAACAGACTCAGACACAGGGGACATGGAAGGACACTTCGGAGCACGGCATACCGGGGGTACAGGCAAGAGACAAAAATGGAAGGACTGGTTCATGGAGGGGAATGAACACAAGATGATGCTTGTCAGGAAGGCTCTTCTCAGAGAAGCTTTTGCCTTTAAGATAATTTAAATGAGGAAATAAAGATCTCAGAATTGGAATATAACGATTTCTGAAGTCTTGTGACTACCCACTCCAGCTGGGGCTAACAGGGAGGCACTTACCCATGGCAATTAAAGGGAAAACACCCAGGAAAGCGGGATGAGGAACACTCGGGTAGGTTTTTACACAGCAATGCTGGCATTTTAGCTATAAATGCCTGCTAACACTGTAAACATACACCATGTCGCAGAAAAGGTGGAAGAGACTCCAATGAAAGGGCTAATCCAACAAGTTAGATGCTTTCAGCACTGCAGGCCACGAAACCGAGAGGTTGCTACTGGTGCCGTGTTGTGAAAAGGCTGCACTGTTTGGTATGAACATGGGTTCAAGACAGAAGTACTGGGGTAACCTGGACTGGTGACCCTCAGTAGAAATGCTGTTAAAACACAGCTTCTACAATACACATCAAGAGAGAAAAGGCTGAGAACATGCAAATCTTACTTTCATTGTTTTCCTTTAATAAAGCATCATTATCTTCTTCATCTTCGTCTTCACCTGTTTTTATTTCTTCAGAAGGAGGCTACAATGAGAGAACTAAACATCACTGGATGAACTTTATATTTAAAGAGAAATTTTACAGCTCGGTCTCTGGAATGTGTGTTGAAATGGAAAACATGATCTCAAGAGAATTAAAAATCCCCCAGATTCTCCTATATCCAAAACACCAGTAACAAGTGTTCTAATAAAACATAGTACTAACTAAAAAAACCTAATGGAAGGATCCACTGACTTCATAGGATTCTCTCCTTTTCATAGTAATTAAGATCAAGCATTACATACCAAGCTTTAAAAAAAAAACCCAAAAATCCACCAATCAACTTTCTATGAGACCACCACTGATGAACATTTAAGAAAAAAAAAAAATCCTCTTCATTAATTTAATTCCTCACTCAGTAATTCCTCTAAATTTTCTGTACTTTCAAACTTCTTAAAGGTGGAAAACAAGTATGTAAACAACAAACTTTTCACTCTGATTTAGCTGTTGATCAGCCATGATGAACAAAAGGCTTCCCCTTTTCTCACGTTTCA